GCGTCTCCAAACCAGAGCAACTCCCTCCCAAATTCAACCAAAAACAAATATTCTTAATGATAAACTTTCCCCGAGTGGGGACGTATCATAGTAAAGGCACTCATTAGACTTTGATTAATTTGCAATATTTCCACCTTTTCCAAATATACTGATACATTATCGGTCGATTTTTGATACATTATCGGTTGATACAGTATCCGTGCCGTGGTGATACATTATAGGATACAGTTATTTTGTAGTTACATTATCCGTCCACACGTGATACATTATCGGATACAAATTTTACTACACTATCATTTAATTTTTGCTACATTATCGGTTAGTGATACAATATCGGTCAATTTGTGATACATTATCGGTTGGTGATACGTTATCCGTTGGTTAATACATTATCAGTTGTAACACCATTGTAGACATGAGGTCACGGGCACAACTATGCATTGATCTGAATGACAGACAGGTGGAGAGTTGAGCAGCTGTACATTGAAAATGTGAACCTTATCTGTATTCAGTCTAAAGTTCAATAAATGTATTTCCATCTGATTGATGTCCTGTTCCGTTATTCCATTTATATCCGTCATTGGATGAGGCCCATTGCTGTTGGTGTCATTGGTGTCATAGGTGTCATAGCAAGAGGCCTATTTTGAACATTGTGTCGGAAGTGGATAGGGTAGACACAAAGAAAGGCCCTATATGTAATTTCGCGAGACCGTCGACAATTGTGCGATGTCCGATAGTGTCCATGATCGTCCGGTTTAAACAGCGCCCCCATAGGAAGATGGTACCACCCCGACCCCACACTCTCATGACTCCGATGTACATGGGCGCTTTCTCTGTCTGATTCTGTGTTGTTTTCTATGAGCGCGTAATTTGGTGGAGTGCGAACATTGATCTCCTTTACACAGACTGTATTTATGTCTTTACTGGTCTTTTATTCACCAAATAAGTAATTTTCAATTACAGCATGACTTGTCGGGCTATATAGAGGTCCTTTCATAGTTCTGAAATATAACTTTTACTATATTAATAAATAAAAGTTATCGCATCTTTGACTTTAGCTTTTTAATACATAAAATAAATACATAATTTAATCTGATTTATAAGATTATTGGCCTTTGTTGCTTGGTCAAGTGTACTTTGTTTACTTTCATCTTGTAGTTAGAAAAAAATCAGATGACTATTTTATTTGATTAAAGACCTGTTGACGTACGTTATGCTTTGTCAACTACCCGAACGGTTTTATTCAATTATTGTTGTTAACTTTATTCATAATATTTTAGTTAACCTTTATCTGTCATTCCTTTTGATCTTCCTTTTATTGCATAGTCAGGGCAACTTGATTCCTTAATTGTACTCGTCCTTATCGTTCACCTTTCTACTTTGCTTCCTATACACCTTTAGAGCTCCTACCCCCGGGTGATGCTGAGTATGATAGCTTTTAAGTGGACGGTGGGGCGGCGGCGGTGAAAATTGAATCTGCCAAGAGGAAACTGGCTGCTGTCTTGTTGCTGGCACAACTGTCACTGAAGCTTCACGTCTCCCTGTACGTCTCGGTTTTACAGGCTTCATTGCTTTTTCCTTTGTACTTATGATTTGCATTTTCATGGTTATGCAATCACGAACTAAATGGGATTCAGCTTTCTGCTTTGCTCCCTTTTCTTTTGTAAGTGCCACGTACAGCTCACAACTCCTGTTGGGTTGTGATGCACGATAGAATGACCAGTCGCCATTAATTTCATAAAATGTTACCTAATGTGTTTATAAATGCGGATAAGTGAGTGCAACCATTGGCTGCGTGCGCACCTTTGCTATCGCGCAATATGATTGAAAACAACCTGGCGCTGCAATATCGTACCCATTAGGAAGGTTGCCATTAGAAATACTCGATAGGACGCGTGTATGCTTGTGAAGAGTGAAGATTCGGAAAACGTGGCCAGCTGATTAGTAATAAGCACTAATGCGGGTTCGCGGGTGTTCGCGAATGTACTGTGTACATGGGGTCCGCTCATAAGTCCGACGCCTCATAGGTCCGACGCCTCATAAGTCCGACAAAATCGCATCCCCTAACCAAATAAATGCCCATAAGTCCGACGCCTCTAAGTCCGACGCCTCATAGATCCGACGCCTCATAGGTCCGACGCCTCGTAAGTCCGACAAATTAAACGCCTCGGTTTTCCGTTGTCGGACTTATGAGGCGTCGGACTTATGAGGCGTCGGACCTATGAGGCGGAATAAATAAATTGTATGCCTCATAAGTCCGACGCCTCATAAGTCCGAAATATCGGACTTATGAGGCGTCGGACCTATGAGGCGTCGGACTTATGATACGGCCCCGTGTACATCTATATTGCGGTTTCATGGATATAGTATTTTGGCCAATAAATCTCGAATATTAATTGGACTTATAGCTCAGAACTATTCCAAAGGGAAAGAGTTTAAGGTGTGGGATCAGACGGAAGGAGGCGTTTTGATTTCGACTAGGCATCACGTAATTTATGTCATAAAAACTACCATATTCTTCTTCACTCCGATCTTTTAAGTATTAACAACTTCGCTGGTGGAAATTAAGGAATTATGGTGTGGATACAATTAAAACTTTTCATTGTAAAATAATAGAAAATTAGTTGGAATTAACTGATCCTATCATTCACAATGACACGTAGATTGATACTGGAACAGTTAAAAGTGATTACACAGGAATGTTCAACATAATTATGACAAAATAGATGGATGAATAGGCCATGAGCCTAATTAAACAAATATAACTTTGATTCGTGGTCAATTTAGAACAGCACGTATGTTTTATTTCGTGATAAGCATTTGGGAAATAATACGATTTAATTAATTTACTTGCCAATGGAGCTTCATGATGCTACCTCACTTTTTCTTTTTCTTCAACCAATGGGATTGTCAAAATACACGCGTGACTCAATCTAACGGTGTGTGACATGCGTGTGAACGTGGTGCTACATGTATGTCATAAAGGTCTTTTTTTCCCCTTGGTATTTACGAATGTTCCGGCTGCCATTAAGTGCATCCACGCATTTGACCTTTCATTTCGCTAGCGGTTTCAATTTTAAATGTCTGTGTCATTGTTTGTATTTGGAGTTCGATTTTGTTTAAAGTTGATCTTTTCATTTAGTTTTCCTTTCCATGAAATGAGTCAATGATAATAACGCGTGACAATAGATGTAAACAAGTGAGAATTATTATGAAACACCCACACGCGTAGAAATGTGTATTGCCTGCAATCGGGGACCTTCATTGTTCCTTTTTTGTTTTTGTTTGTACTTCAACTTTTGAGAAAGACCTCCCAAATGTTTTGTACACATCGCCAAATTGGGAACCTCTCGATAATTGGAGACCCTATTTTCCTCTATTGTTCAACGTCCCCCATTGAAAGCAAAAACAAACGCACCCACATACAAGTGTGTTTTTGCCTGCCATCACGTACCCCCTATTGTCCCTCTTTTGTTTGTACTAACTTCGTAGGAAGACCTCCAATGTTTTGTACATGCATCCAAATTGGGGACCTTCAGAAATTAGGGACCTTATTGTCTTCTTTTGTTCAACGTCCCATATTCAAGCAGGAACAAAATCACACACAATATAATAATAGTGTAAAACCAAGTGTTTAACTTTTAAACGGAAAATTAAACTCAAATTAGTTACACTTATTTGTAAACACTTTGACGCGTTTATAAATAAACACATTACATGTTTATATTCTGAACACAACATTTATTTTATAACCGGCACATGTTAATAAAAATAAATAACGCATGTTCATTTTGGAAAAAAAAATGCTTAGGTAAACAAAAAAGTGTCATTCCGCTTATTGAATTGAATTACTATTTTAATACATCAAGCACATTGAACTTGCTCAACCATCGGTACAAAATAATAAAAGAAACAAAAATATTTACAAAATATCGATGAATATTATGTGGCATTTTTTTATGTTTATTAACTAAATTTGAACATGTTTTTCTTGAGTTGTATTTATTATTAAATCACGAAACGTTATTTGGTTCCACAAAAGTCACCAACTTTTGTCCAACAAATATTTGATTCAATTAATAGAAAGACATTTGAGCCAGATGATATTCACTCAAATGAAGGAAATTACAGTCCTTTAAATCTCTTTTAGCTTGGAAGAGAAAAAAACTACAAGGTAATGAGTGCTCCGGCGGAGGACATACGGAAAATTGCACTTCACTGAATCGGTACAAACAAAAGCAATGAGACATCGAAATAAGTTTAAGAAAACCGAAAATGCATATTAATAGGGATCAGGGTTTGTTCATTAATTCACATAGGCATATATCTTCATTACAAATTGCGACATTGCAGCTAGCACCGCTAGGCGTCAAGCTTGTGTCAAGGGGCCGCAGAAAGAGGTCGAGATGAACATGCGCAAAAGCCGCGCCATTACAGCATTACGCATGCGCCTCGTCTGTCTCCCAAGAATCTTAACAGAATGTGTGTTAAACAATACATGCATTGATGGACAGAGCGACACATTAAGTAAAATCTAAATGAATCCACACTGAACATCCGGGATATGTCTGAAATACTAAAAAAAAAATGCATACCATGACCACAACTAACAATTTGTAGCTGTACAGTCATTTCTGACTTCGGAGTTAGTACGCTTGACATTATGTTACATGGCTGAATCATCTCTGCTCGCTTTATTTACAAGCTTCAATTTATACAAATCCTAAATCTAATCAACACCGTTGCACTAATGTAAATATGATGAGTGATCCGTGTTCGTAGAATATTGGCCGAAATATCACTTTCATTTTTAGACGGGTCTTGCTTATATTGCGCTGGTATTGCCTCACAGCTTCACTCGAAGTCTGTGTGTCGGTGTTGCATAAACGTTCGTACTTGGTTTACCACGAACTGGCGAGATTCTTGGTCGACATTTTAATTGATCGACTGGTGAAACAATTTGATAGGGCAACGCATTATTCAAACCACTCGCCGAAATCATGTCTGATAGCGATTTCAACTCGACCGTGGCTCAGAATTTTGAAGATCAAAATATGACCACAGCTTCTACCACCAGTGGAGCCACGGCACTTCCTGAACTTCACTCATATGGCGTGTTGGTGTTTGCAGCTTGCGTGTGGATTATCGTAGCTGTGTTGGGTATAACAGGCAACACTATGGTGATCCTAGCGGCGATTCTTAGTAAGCAAGTCCAGACGACCACTAATGTTCTGGTGGTCAATCTGAGTGTGGCTGATCTGTGGACTTCCTTGTCTTTGCCTTGGACAAGCGTGGCGATGCTGAGTAATGGCACCTGGCCTCTAGCTAGCGAGATCCCGTGCCAAATAGCGGCGTTCATGTGGCACACCGGTCTAGGAGCCAGCCTGTACAACCTGGCTTTGATTGCGTTGAATCGTCTTGTCAAGATAACTCGCCCTATGGCAACCTACAATCGCATCTTCTCACCTCGCAAGATGGTCTTCATTGTAGCTCTATCCTGGTTCATCCCGAGCTTTGTTATCATCTTTCCGCTAACTATTGGTGTAGGTGGCCTTGGTTACGATCTCAAATACGACAGCTGTACCGATGATGACTTACATCCTCGCGCAGGTGTCTACAACCTGGTCCAAACAATCGGATTTTACCCCGTCCCAATGGCCACTGTCGTCGTCAGCTATGTCATCATCTTTGTCCATGTCAGGCGACACTTTAGAAAACAACTCTCCCGGACAAAGAACAGAGATAAAGCCACAGATGCCGTTGAGTCCGGTACTTTCAGACTTACATTCATATCAACTACTTCAGGTGAGGTCACCGAGGAACACGAAGAGCCTGTAGGTGAGAAAAGAAACCGAAACATCAGCCGCCAGCAGCTCAGGATTACCAAGAACCTCTTCTGGGTCTTCTGCGCGTTCATTCTCTGCATCTCTCCGTACTACATCTCACTCTTCTTTGCTAACAGTGAAGTCTTTGCTCTGTACGGCGGTACCATCTTGATCTTTAACAGTTGTGTTAATCCTATCATTTACGGAGTCAAGCACCCGCAGTTTAAGAAGGTACTGCGGCCGATGTTGAGATGTAAGTGGAAGAAAATACCACAACCGTCTAAGACGTTGCAAGCGATTCTCTCAATGCGCCAGAGAGAGAACGAAACTAGAGAATAATAAACTGCTGACTCGGTAAACACCTTGCATGGGACAGTCATTATTGGGAGCTAATAAACAGACATAATTATATAATTGCTGCACCTTTGTGTGCCATGTAAGTGTCAGCTGATGAAAACCAGTCACATGCAGCCTGTAGGCAATTTACATTCCATGATGACACATTTAGGGATGACACATTTAGAGTAAATCGGTCCGAAATTGCCTACGCCGGCCAAATCACGATTTGCATGCCCTCAAAATATTCAGTATTTGAGCATGCTGTGGGCCATGAACTTGAGGGTTTGTAAAAAATATGGGTGGAAGCCATGCACAGGACTTTGAGCTTGTAGTTCCGTTCAATTTGGATGAAATTGGGGCCCTTAAAGCGCTCTATTTTGCAATGAAGTGTAGGCATCGTTTTTCAAAATGGCGATGGGCTTCAGGACTATTTTCAGGGGTGATCATCTTCGGATGGAAATTTCTCCTGAAAGTCATTAGTTGACCCCCAAAAATTGAAAAGAAAATAAAAGATGATGAAATAAGCTTTAAGTTAAATTGATTTCTAAAGTGGGAACATTTACCATTGGGGTCTTCGGAAGTTTATTTACTTGTCTGCAACCTAAATTTAATTTAAAAATGGCGCCTTCCATCGTTTGTTGTCAAAGGTGTGCGCCTGCGCTTTACATTCCACGACAGTGGGTTTTTTTTTCAGGGGGGGCGGGACCTGGGGGGGCAGCGTTTCAAAAGGGGTCACCAACGGCGGTTCCGCAACAAATGCGCCCAAAATCTGAATGGGACCGATGAACCGTCGTCCGATCACAGCAATTTCGAGCGAACAAGGGGGGGGGGGGGTAATTTGGGGTTGGAAGGAGCAAAAACTCAATTAACTCCCGTTGGGGCGCCCTACAGCAAGGCGGCCGCAAACAGAGGGCTTGTTTTCAGGCCAGAAATCGCAGTCAGAGTTTTTTCTCGCAATTTTTTGATGAAATATGAGTCATCCATCCTTCCTCGTGCCGTACAAGTGATTTGGGGGAATTTTTCAAAACCTCGCTTCTTTATAGGTTGTAGACCAGTAAATCGGTCCGAATTGCGCATGCTATTGCATGCTCAGTATTTGAGCATGCTCCCGGATACGCCACTGGCACTTGGCCTCTGTAAATCAATCATCGGCCTTCTTTTTTAACACTTAATTCTAAAACGTAATTTTATATGCGGATATTACCAAACTAATTCGCTTATAAATACGCCAACATGTAACCGTATATAATGCAAATTAGTGACCCATTCTCTAGCTTTTTGTAACTATCTGTATAATTATATTTATATAACGTGAATTTCAAAAAAAAATGTGGGTTATTTTATAGTTAATTGAATTGTAGTGACTACAACTACCCAGTAAGAACTGTTCGGTTATTCACACTTTGCTGTGCTCTACATTTCTATACAGCCGTGTAAAACAACATCGAGCTCTTGTCTATAACGCCATTATTAGAGAGCTGTGGCATTGATTGACAGCCACTGGATGCTCTAACAACATTGTCAAGCTGGAAATGTACACATTTTAACTATTAATGTTGGCAAAACTTATGCAAAGATGTTCCATGAATATGTAATGCCGCATATGACAAGAAACACAACGAATGGGGCCACTTATCTACCGTCACATTGGCATTTTTTCAAATGGTTTCGAGTTTTTGTTAAATACCTGAAACCACCAAAGAAGAATTTCAACACATGAATAGACGGGCAGCCTTTCGCTAAAAATGATTTGAGTTGCTTATTAATTTTGGTTTTTTTTACATTATCTTCAAATTTCTATCAAAAATTGGACGGAAAACTTAGGTATCTTTTTCCTTTCATTTTTGATGTAATTTGAGGGTAAGTTTAATAATTAAAAAAGGAAGAAAGAAATGTATCAACACATATTACATGTGTTATAAGCCTACATGTCCATTTACATTTCAAATATGTTTTGGGTGGTTTCGGGTACTGTAAAAAAAAATACAACCATTGGAAAACAACTACTTACGTGACGGATGCAAAGTGGCCCCTTCATTGTGTTTCTTTTCACATGGGAATAGGAAACATGCGGCATTTCTAAGTGTTCGGAAGCCCATGAAGTCAATCTTGTACATATTTTCTTTCCTGAGTCTCGATGCGTGTGTATACAGTATAATGTTTGTAATGTAAAAACAAAAACAAAATTATGTAGTTGGTTGTTGGATCGGATCATAACCAAAGATTTATGTCTGTATACAAATTAAACTTGATTAGTTGAAGCGACATTTAGCCGGAAGAATGTTATGGACTTCTCAGAAATGTTTGCGCAAAAAAAAGAATTATATTTGCAAACTCTCCCATTAATTATACCTTACCGTCTGGATTTGGGTCGGCCCCTATTTGCTGAGATCAGTTATTATTTCGCAACTCCCACGTCAATAAGGGGTAGGAGTTCGTTTCTGCTGAAAAGAACTATTATCATTAACATTACTCTGAATTGGGCGAGATTTTCTGATTTTCACAGCGCATTGTAATCGTTTTGGAGCATGGTTTTCTTTTCTTGTTTTGTTCATAATAATGTCTTTAACAAAAAATCCGCCGGGGGCCAAAGGTCCCCTTCTGCCCCCCCCCCCCCGATTTGCAACCGGACACTAACAACACCAACGACACTAACACCAACAAAAGCAACAATAGCAACAACAACGACAAGGGTGACTGTAAGGTTAGAGCCAAATTTTGCTAAATGCACATCAAAAATATGTCAGATTTATCAAAAATCTGCCAAATTCCCAAGAATTACTCAAAATACACTATAAACACTTAAAATCACATGCAGATTGGTAGTATTGCCTTAATTATGATTCAAATTACACAATAAACAATCTAGTCAAATAAAGATGTTGTGAAATTATTCGGATAAACGCGGATGCAGCCACAAAGATTATGTCCGTTTCCCAGTGAACCTCAGCACCTAGACCAGCCAACCTGTCCCATTATGCAAGGGTTTGTTTGACAACAGATTGAAGCTTTTTTAAACAAATCTACACTTTTTTGTTCAAATTTGCTATTTTTCTGTCAAATAACCATTGTTGCAGAATTCTGCAAGAAATCTGCACAAAAATCAAACTCGTTTTTTAAGCACAATTTTGTCAAAGTTAACATAGCAACAACAGCAACACCAGCAATATCACCAACAACGCTAACACCAACAACAGCAATGGCAGCATGCAACGACACCAACAGCAACGACAGCAACAATAGCAACAACAACCGAATATAAAAGTAAACGAACAAATTGAACAGAAAAATAGATGAAATACATTTTAATTTCGTGTGTGTATTTTCCTGATCTTGGGTAGTGGGGTAAGCTATTTATCACCCGTGCAAGCGCAGTTTATTTACTGGTCTAAACCTTTACTGTGGTGACCACTATTTTGAAAGAAAAATGTTATTTACTAACATTAACTTTACGTTTGAAAGAAAATGTTATTTACTAACATTATGCGGGTAGGCCCTAATGCCCTTAGAAACCAGCGGAACAAAATTGCAGAGCATTGAAATTTAGCAATCAGTATCTGTTTGTTCACAAATCAAAATACGAATTTCACAACACAACACTCTCCCACCCCCCCCCATCCCCCCACCCCCACCCCGCCACCCCCTCTGGATACGTAACTGAACAACAACAAAAGCACCAACAACAGGGGAGGTAGGGGAGTTTTCATATGCAATTGGTTAGATGTGTGAGATGTGTAAGTTGTTTATAATTTGTTCTCGCCATGATGTAAATGTTGGGTGTTTACAGTCACCCCTGTAGTTAGCGGAATAAATGAAGTCTGCAACTTCATCGCAATTAACAGAGGATGAATGTATCTTGTGTGAGCATTGCAGTGTTATGGTTGTGGACAATGTAATTCAGAGTAATGTGATACTGGATTGTTTTCAAGACTGTGGCCTTTACAGCGGCCTGACAAAAGCTTGGCATTGATTACAGTAAAGTGGTTTGTTATTTACTGACAAAAAGGGCCCATTATAAAATCCAACTACTGTCTCCGAAACTCCATAAAAGAGTCAGTTCTAATTTTGTCTCCGTCATTCCTGATTAGGCCATTAAAACAAATGGAATGATGTATTTATGATAGAGCCCGGTGCTGTGCGTGCACGCCCTGTCATGACACTTTACAATTTAGAACGCGGCGATAGCGTATAATATACGACGTGTACGGGTGAATCTAGTTATTGCATCATGCGGTCGTACCGAATAGTTATCACACTATATTCTGTCAGGAAGGCCTAATTATCGAGGAAGAAGTGATCTTGAATGCATCTGCGTCAACCGTGAGCTATGAGCCAGTCAATCCGGCCTTGTTGGCCGGCTACATCTTTATGATTTTCATCGCAGTAGCAACAAGTCTTGTCTACGTGTGGTTGATGATAGCCACAATCGCCATGGAGCACATCCTTCATGTTTCCAAACTATTTCATGGCAAGTCTTTGTGTGTCCTTGGTCGTCTTGGGAATTTTGATTTCATGGTGGTCTGTGATCGCGATGTCAAATATAAATTACTCCTCGCTCAAACTTGCAATAGCCATAAGTTCTACCTACTTTGCACCTCTCTGCTCTTCTTGAATTCGGTGGTAATAGCAGCTGACCGGTACCTGAAGATATCCCGGCCCCTGCAGTATCTCCGGTTAGCGACGCCCAGGCATTGCATCGCGCTGATCGGTGCGTCCTGGTGCATTTCCCTGTTCATCGGACTTGCCGTGTTCCTCACCGCCATGCTGAATTTTGACGACGACAGCGGAGAGTCCTACAGCAGTTTCCTGCAGGAGAAAGGTTTTCAAATCCCCATGGTTGTCCTCATGGGCGTCACGAGGGGGGGGGCAAGGGAGGCACTTGCCCCCCCCCCCCCTGGAAAAGCAAAAAAAAAAAAAAAAAAGGAAGAAAAAAAAGAACAGAAAAAAAAGAAAAAGAGGCGCGAAGACAAAGTGGTGTAAATGTAATGAGTTGGGGGGGGGGGCAAAATGTCCCTGTCCCCCTCTTAAACTGATAAATCGAGAATGTGTTGAGAAGTACAAGCATTTTTTGGCAAAAAAATGTTTTGTCCCCCTCTAGAAAAAATCCTGGCGACGCCCATGGTTGTCCTGTCGGATCTGACAATCCTCCCCAGTATGATCGCGGTAACTTTCCTGAAAGCTGCTCTCGTTCGCATCGCTAGGCAACAGCGGCGCAAGATACGAGATGAAATACTGATGCTGAAGCATCCTCAAGATCGTGCGCAGCTGACGGAGCAGGAAGGCAACCATGAGAACACGCCGCAGCCTTGACCGAACCACTCGGCCAACAAAACCACCATGTAGGCCTACTTCATCGTAACTTCTTCGCAATTGTCGTGGCTTGGCTGCCGGCCAGTGTAGCCATAAACATTATAGTTCTCAGTGACCTCACTTCAGCCGTTCTCAACCCTGTCATTGCCTTCTGTTCCATTACTGGCATGATTGAAACTTCGTGCGGCACCATGTTCCTGGCCTATGCGCAGCCAGAACACGACAGGCAGCAAGGAATACTTTGAAGAGGGTGAAACGACTCGTCTGTGATCGTTAAAGCGAGAGATGATTCTAGACTGAAAATCTCAGCTAAGTATTTGGGGACTTTAAAGTTTACAAAGTGCCATGTTAAGGAAAGAGACGTAAGAAAAACTCTTTTTTCGTTGCGACTTTGAACTGGGACACATTTTAAAGCACAGCTATGCTTGTATTATATATTCATTAATCCCCAATAAGACAATTTACACATTACTGTCGCGAGGTAGCAACCCCGACGATGATAAGGGTGGTCAGGTTCACCCACATGAAGATAGAGTAAGGTGGAAAGCAAGAAGAATCGAACTTGAACACACGCAGACAGTTGTTTATGCTGATTCACTTTATCAAGTTTTAATTAAATTCACTTTCTCCAATTGTACAAAATAAGCCAAATAAAGATCCAAATGAGAAACAGGGAAAGACCCAAATGAAGTCCCTTGAATGAAGAAGAAGACCAAGGAGAATCGAACTTGAACACACAGACAGTTGTTTATGCTGATTCACTTTATCAAGTTTTAATTAAATTCACTTTCTCCAATTGTACACAATAATCCAAATGAAGATCCAAATGAGAAACAGGGGAAGACCAAAATGGAGTCCCTTGAATGAAAAAGAAGACCAAGGAGAAGACCCTGTTGATCATGAATAAAATGAATTGATCTTAAACGTTTGGGAGTCTTGTCCCAAAGTCATTGGATTAAATTAATGTTATTATAAACAACAGGTATTTTAATTATACAGCATAAACTATAAATAATATAGTTGTTTTAGTGACAGGCGTAATGATCACTCCAAAATAATACTAAATAGGATGACTAATTAATCCAGCATACAATGAGATATCACAGTCTTACCCTGATATAGAGAAGGCCTGTAACTACAATGCACTTGAGATGTCAAACTTCAAAGCTTGTGACTTGACAGTCTCAGCAAAGTCTCAGCTATAAATTAGAATACATAAAAATACAAATAGAATACACGTAAAACATATTTAAGGAAATATCTTCTATCATAAAAAAGTCCCGTGCACCCATAAACAATACGACATACACGAACAGCATTTCAAAATAAAGCGAATAATTCCACAGTGTGGCTGAGATTCAACGTTGTGATGTGCATACGCACACTACGTACACAATGCTGAACTATTGTCGCCATTAATGCATTGTGCAGTGAATGTGTACGAAAACGGTCATTCAACTCTAGAAAAGTTTTGACACTTTCACACAAAACAAACACCCTCAAATCTATAAGAATCAATCTGTTAGACAATAATAATATCAACCAACCTCTTCTATGTCCCTTACATTATCTACGCAATACTTAATTAGAATCCAACTTACCCCAAAAATGATGGAAAACTTGAAGTAAAATTTTGAACGAAATCGTTGAAAATTTAAAATTTTTGACTTGTTTGGACTTTTAGAGGGAAAAGTTTGGATTTTTTTGACCGAAAAAAGGTATTTATTATATTATCTGCTTGACTGATTTAAACACTCTGGATGCGAACCAGTAAATAGGCATAAACGAATAAAAGTTGCACCCTCTAAATATATTATAGAGTTCTGAGAGCCATAAAATTGGAAATTGAAGAGATATGGCAATGAACCTTTGGCCCAGACTTGGGCTTCCAATTCTGCGGATTTTGGGTGCAATTGGGCTCGAAAGTGACGCTATTTTGCCATGTTGTGGAGGGATTGTTTTGCAAGATGGCTACTTGCTGCTTTAGGGTAAATTAGGGTCGTATTTTTTGGATGAGAATATCTCCAAAAGTCAATGGTAAACCCACCAAAAAATACAATGTTAGTAAGAAAATGGAAGATGACATGTTTATCATCATTTTTCTGTGCAGCTGAAATATCTGTGAGGTTTCCGAGTAGTGAGGTTTTCCAAGTATGGGCACTAGTGTCTATGGGATAATTAATGCAGGGGTGAACCCCTCTGTCTCTGTTTAAAACCGGTTGGACTCAAGCCCTGGGAAGTCCTGAGCCAACCCTTGTCAGCCCTGGTCCAGGCGTGTTATTGCTCACCCGAGCCAGACCTGGGCCAGGGCTGGGTAGCCAGAGGCATCCAGAACTGGCCGAGACCTGACAGCTGGTTGGCCCAAGGCTGGTTCACACCCGGGCCAGACCTGGGCCAGGACTGGCTAGCCAGTGGCAGCCAGAACTGGCCCAGACCTGACAGCTGGTTGGAAATGCAGAGGTCTGTTCCCATCCGGGTCAGACGTGGCCCAAGGTTGGCAGTTGCCATATTGTGAGATATATACCCCATATTTTACTGTCAAACGTGATGTTTTACCGTTTCTGTTTACTTGTAGAAAATCGGGAAAATATGGACATTTATTGATATTACAATGTACTTGTTTCAGTCAATGCAGTTTTGGGTTCAAATAGATTGCTAAAAGAAACCCCAATAGCATCCTCGTGGAGATGAGCTAGGATGAAAATCATGTACACGTATACAGGGTGTATAAGAAAAGGGTAATCCAAAATCAATCGGCTAATACATAAACATTTGGAAATTGTTGACTGTCAAATTGGTCTTAATTGATCTTAAAGGGTAGTTCAATAGCTTTCAATTGATACCATAATTACACCTTTTTAGTCACATAAACCTGAGCACCATTGATTGCAATACAAAGGCGTTTTTGAAGTGGTGAGTTAAGCTGTCGAAAGAATGCGCTGTCACTGTGGACAGTGCCTTAAAAGGGTGCGACAGATAATGTTGTTGCATAAAATGGTACATAATAATGTTTTCCATGAATGATTGATCGTTCCAGAGATGTTGTTTATCATCACATAGCCAAACACCTCTTCAAAATTAATCTGATTCAGTGGCGAATTGAGCTGTCCAAAAAGTGCGCAGTCGCAGTGGATTATGTGTTGAGTGTGAGGAGAGAGACATGTTGAAAGTGTTTGAGCGTACAACGGAGTATCATGATTCATAATTAAATCAAAAATTTCAAGGATTTTGTGTTTACTCGTTAAAATAATAACTACAAAATGCAATAGTGTCCTCAAAACTAATTAGCCTGGGCGTTTGCCAAACTTGGCATGGCTTTGGCTATCCCCATTACAAGCTATGCTTTACCGATTTTTGATACGTCATTGCTAGTTTGTGATGAAAAGGGAAATCTTTGGGAATGATTAATAATTTATGGACAATATAAGGTACCACTTTTAGCAACAACATCTCCATCAAAGGCCGGCCCCTGTTAACGCACTGTTAACAGCTGCGACAGGGCTGACTTCTCTGACGACTTAACTCACCACATATTTCAGTAAACTTGGATAAAGAGGGTTTTTGCCTTTGTTTTTAAAGCACGGTGATGAGTCATCTGTGACTAAGAGGTATTATTATGGAATCAATTAAAAGCTAATGAAATAACCTTAAAGATGAAACCACTTTGACATTCTACCATTTTCTTACTTTTACATATGAGCCGATTGATTTTGGATTACCTTTTTTTTATATACACCCTGTAGAGTGCTTTCATCATATATACAGGAACAAGTATAAATATTTGAGTGTTGCGCCTTCTAAATGTTAATACAGCTTGAGTAATCTACTTCAATGTTAATGTTCCAGGAGTGATTTTGCTTTATTTTAGGCCTAACACTTCTCGTTTAATCCTGTAACACTTCTATAAAACAATCTTCAAAGCAGACAAAACATAATTGGAACCTTAACGTTTGAAGCAGAAAAGTTTACAGTTGTTTTCTTTTTTTCAAAAATTATTTCATAGATTGCTTCACAGATTATCTTACGGAAACCTTTTTCTTATCAGGAATGCAAAATAATCTCCATATTAAAGCAGATTGTGAAATAGTCGATTGATTTATGAGACCTTTCGTATAACATTAACTTGCATGAATGCAGTAGAAATTAGGCAGAAAAACGTAAAATTTCTCGGTAAATAGCAGAACTTAGTAAAGGCACTTTTCTGTTAAACAATGACATCACGAATAATAGTTTCAAACCTCATTTATACTTACAGAGCATGTAGGCCCAAGTTTACAGTGCTAATCTTACAACAAGTACAGTTAATAAACAGGGTCATGTTGAAAAAAAAAAACATTGAATACTGTGATTTCACCATAACAAATGCTGTTTAAGGCAATAACATATAGTGTGAATCTTTGAAGAGTTATCTTATCCACTTATTTAAGTGACCCGGTGCTGTTTTCGTTATTCGTGAATGCTAGAATCCTCCGTTGACGTTGTGACAAGAAGGAACTTCTGCAGAAACAGTGTCACGTGATCTAAAATAGACCAATAGGAGATAAGAAATAACGAATAATGAATAACAAAATGTCATAATGACAGCAAGTCTTCGACCAAACTGTTAAATGAAGTGTAAAGCGGTAAAGTATATTAATACATGAATGACACGATTCTACAACGCGTTGGACAACTTGATACACAATGTCAAAACTGTTGATGTTTATATTGTTCCAGATGCACATAGACGGCATTTCTTACTCATGAAGGGTAGGTGTCTTTTCCCCCAGACGAATACGAGGTAGACCACGAGACCAATGGCCATTACTACAAAGGCGTACAGGTACTCCCAGGTAGGATCGGAAATTAATGGCGCCAAGATCATAAACACGCAGACGACAGTCGCGATGATAGGTATCAAGATATTCACCTGAAGTAGGCAAGGAAAAACAGAACAAATTAATAATAAATTCTTTGAGAAAAATGTAAGGAATTAAGGCTCCCTTTCTTGCTTTAAACCCTTAGTTAATAGGAATATCACCGAAGGATGTTACCGAATACTTTTCCGAATGTTGACATGCACACACTAAGCTAAGATAATTTCCACTGATTGAGCCCAGGAATTAATCTTTTTTCCCTCATAAGATTCTTACTAAATCAATGTTTGAAACACTTCTTGGGCTTGCACTTAGGCCTATGGATTATTAACTCTTCATTTCTGGAGACTTCAATCCACATTTAAATTTACCTGCCAATTTAGTCAACTCATAGCAAACCGACACAAAAAAGCCAAAATTTCTGAAAATACGTCTAGAAATTAATGAGACAATTTAAACAATCAGCCCCCAAAGCAGTTACATTCCAAGTAACCGAAGCTTGTGTACGGGACCCGAGTAAAAAATAAATAACTCATTTTATCTAGACCAGGCAATCATTAATCATAGCTCAGATTAAGTCATTACTTGCCCTGAATGGTCTTGGTTTATTCGGGTACTTCCGTCGTAAAATCAGAACGGCCATAAATGTAACCCCGTCGAAGATGTAGTTGACGAAGCCAGAGAAAATGAGAATCGATTTGAAGTCCCCAAGGAGGATGAAAACAATCGATAGAGTGGCCTGAAAGACAATAAATTTGTAGGTAAAGTATGATTGGAGGTATACGTGTGAAAACGTGTTATTGAAACCTTGTTATTGACAAAGTAGTGTTCATTCGTTTTGAACGTACGCATGACGGGCATTTACGTCTCAGCCAATGAAAAGCTGTGCTTGCCACGCTCCACCCACAGTTACCGCCCACCGTGACCGTCCACCGCCTTACTTTTATTATTCAAATTGTTCGGTGCTTCTATTAATCACGATAACAATGCAAGAGGATTACAAGTCGTTGAGCGGTACAAATTTAAACATAACAAAAGAACATTCTAAGTGGCAGGATCGGGAACAATAAAGTGGAGTTGTATAGTGCTGTACCCATAGGCGACACATGACGTGATGAAGAAATGCACTGGAAATGTTGTACATGTACGTGTATACGTATATAGGATACTATAGTGCACGTACAACTCAAACTCATGTTGAAATCTTTCGACAAAGTTTGTCAACCCTCTTTCCTGTCAATAAAGTAAACTCAAACAAATCTCTGCTTCTTTGAAGCTCTATCGTATAATCTCCGATGAATAAAAACTGAAATTAACAAAATAAAAGATGTATTATAAATAAATAATTATAAATAAAAATTGGAAGGACTTGCCGAATGATGGGTCAGCTAAGTTTGTTGATTGTAGTTTCAGGTCATTGTACTCTTTAAACAGTTTGCTGCAGTTTTTTCGTTTTTAGTTATGAAAAGAATATGATAAAAATACGGTACATACAAATATTTCTTGATTTACTGTGATTTACTCTATAAACCTATGATTTACTCCATAAACCTCTTCTTTGTTTATAAACTTATGGCGATATGCATTAAAACCAGTTCCCCTTTCCTCATCATTGATATTCACACGGGCACATTTGTCGAACGTTCCCCATATCGTGCCTCACTTTCGTCTTGCTTTCAGGGTGACAGAACCCGACGGTACGTGGCCTTTAGCAATGTATATGTCTTGTTAATCTGAATACTGACTGTACCCTGCGTAGGCATTTATAATCCTATGTACCATTTTTATTGTTGTTCTAAGTAGCGCTCGTACCCTGCCTTAGCCTTATTATTTCCTTGCGTTCCGAGTGTATTGTTAATCTGAATACTGACTGTTCCCTACGTAAGCCTTTTTAATCCTACATAGTTTCTATTGTAGCGCTCGTACCCTGCCTTAGCCTTATTCTTTCCTTACGTGCCAAGTGTATTGTAAATCTGAATACTGACTGTACCCTACGTAAGCCCTTATAATAGTGTATATTGTAGCGCTCGTACCCTGCCTAAGCCTTATTCTTTCCTTGCGTTTCAAGTGTATTGTTAATCTGAATACTGACTGTACCCTACGTAAGCCCTTATAATAGTGTCTATTGTAGCGCTCGTACCCTGCCTAAGCCTTATTCTTTCCTTGCGTTTCAAGTGTATTGTTAATCTGAATACTGACTGTACCCTACGTAAGCCTTTATAATGGTGTCTATAGCAGTCGTACTCTGCCTTAGCCTTTTTCTTTCCTTACATTTCAAGTGTATTGTTAATCTGAATACTGACTGTATGCTGTACCCTACGTAAGCCTTCAGAATAGTTTCTATTGTAGCGCAATCTTGGCAAAGGTGCAGGCAAACAAAATATGCCCGTGCAGAGAAAACCCATAAACAGAGTGTTGAAATAATTCCAAAGAAAAGCCAGCTCTTCGTCGAGAAAAAAATCAACAGGGGGTAAACTTATCAATAACAGCAAGTAATAACATAGAAAGGAACATGATTGTGGCCACGGGATCCATGACTAAAGGCAGTATGTATACAGAAGGCTTAAATGCCGAGAGGACTCCCTGCAGTTTGAATTTATATACCTGCACTAAACTAATTACGTGAGTAATTCTGTTTGCTTTAGGACAAAAAAAGAGGTTTTTTTTACCTGTTCTTTTTGCTTCAAATGTCGGCTGATGACTGCAAATGGTGCCCGACTAAACTTAGTGCAAATATTATGAGAGACCAGAGAGGCCACATAAAGCTTATTCTCGATCATAAGCCCATCTAAAAACACAATAAAATTGTGCAGCAGCAGGATTCCAGTCAAACCAGTGAGTTTGGCGGTTTTGAGACATCATCTTTCATTGAAAATACCTTTTCATTTTGCCGACGCGCATGGCTACGGCGACGCGCACGCATACCAGAAACCGGAGACTTTTTTGGGGGGCCTTGCCGACTAGATTTTGTTCAAAACACATCATGTACAATGTACATGTACTTGCAAAATTGCTTCGATAGAAAGATTCAGCAGGCATTGTGTCAGACAGCTTTCATTGTAAGAGATCCTCTTTGGTTATTTAGATTTTTGTACCGCTCAACGAGTTGGAATCCTATTGCATGCAGCAAACAATTTGAATAATAAAAGTAAGGCTGTGGACGGTCACGGTGGGCGGTAGCTGTGGGTGGAGCGTGGCAAGCAAAGCTTTTCATTGGCTGAAACGTAAATGCCCGTCTTGCGTACGTTCAAAACGAATGAACACTAGTAGAACAGAACACAAATAACATAACACAAGTCAAAATATTACAACCCGAGCCAGCTAAAGTCATGATCTCTTGGGGATAAATCCTGTAACAAGCAAATTACACTTCGAGGGGTAATTTATATTTATTGTGAACAAGATAGGTTCAGAAAATCGTCAAAAAAATAAAAGGCTACAAAAAAATGAAACATGACATGTGCGTTTGTTTGAGCTACAAAAACACAGGGTGATCGGTAGCGGCTATATTATTGGGCATTTCCAACTAAAGTTGAATGAATACTGATTTAGTTCAGAGACGATTGAAGTTCATCATGAAGTGAAAAATAAAACTTAAAATATTTAAATTTTAATTTCAAATGAATTGTATTGCTATTACCTTACTTTCGGTTTGATGAAGTCACAATAATTAAACATCTATAGTCAACAATTTTCCAGACATTATTATTATTTTGTGCTACGAACATAGTGGTCAGACACAAATTGAAATGATGGGTAGGAATTTTAATTCTCCGTTTAGACGCACAGATGAAGTCACAAACATTTTAACGATTTGGTCCAGGATTCAAGTTCATACCAGGTTTGATTATTATCCCGTGTCTGAACAGTTTACATGAAATTTGAGTTTGTTTTTAATTTGAGGCTCGCGTCCGTTTGCTTCTCATGCTTTCACTCGTTGTATAAATCTACCAGTTATGCTCTCCTGAGGGCGCTGTGGCGTGACTACGTTACACGACAATAAGCCCATCTCTTGTTTCTCATTACTTTACAAACCTAATAATGTCTAATTGCTAATGCACCTTTGACCCTCTGGTTACCCCGGAAAGAAAAGGTCTGACGATTTTGTCGTCGGCAATCAAAGATGCGTTATCGCTATTACAAAAAAAACCAAGAGAATTATTCCCCCCCCCCCAAAAAAAAAAGAAACAAGGAAAAGAAGAACGAAAAACCCTAGCAATCTGAAAACGTTAAACGGGTTGCGCCCGATCACCAACAAAATCCAGGAATGAAATCAGTGACCTGGTGCCGTGTGTGGTACCCCATCACCCAATCAACATATACTGACCTGCAAGAATATCGCCGGAAGTGGCGTATACCGCTTCACATTGATCATTGACAAAACCTTCAACATATGACCTTCTCTTCCGGCTGCAAAGGTTATCCTATTCAATGTAAAAAAAATGGGCGATTGGTGGTGGCCGCGCTATCACCCGATCTCGAAGAGCTTGTTCGATTACCCGTTCTCCCCCCCCCCCCCCCCGCTTACTCGTACCTCTAAATCGGGGAAGGTTGCACATGCGCAATACGGCGGACCACTCGATCGAGGACGTACGAGTGACGTATGCGGTCATAATGAATAAAAAACTTGTACACCACTATGACTTCGCGCCTCTTTTTTTTTCTTCCTTTTTTTGGCTTTTCGGGGGGGGGGCAAGGGGGGGGGCAAGTGCCCCCCTTTGCCCCCCCCCCCCTCCCCCGCGACGCCCATGACGTTAAATATCGAAAGCCCCTTTTTAAAGTGGATTGGTTGTAAATAATTCATTGAAGGTGACATTGAAGTTGACACCACGTGTGAAATTTCTGCCAGTCTTCTATAGTGATACAAATCAGCCATATTTAACACTAAAAGGGCCGGGTTATTTTGACCATCTCTCAGCCGGGGGCGGATACCGCCTTCCCCCTAAGATCTCGACCATCGAGTGACGAAAAATAATGAATTTCGGTACATGTACAGAATAACTTATTATGGACATACTCAAGAAATTCATGACTACTAGGTAAAAAGGGGTTTGGAATTATGGCAAATGAATTATTCATAAGAACGAATGGTGATTCTGTTTTGTGTTCACTACTTATATGGGATAATTCAGTTTTCACGGCGCGTAGGGTTAAGCATGGCCTTTTAGGCTACTTATCCAAGTAACCGGCTCAACGGGACGGTTACTTGGGCCATGCTCGAGTAAGTGCAAGACGTCATGTGAGAGTCGAACGCAGTGGCGCTTGCACGAGTAAGCGCAAGGGAAGTAATCGAACACGGTAACACAAATGCATTTGTGCGATCGTTCGATCCTGCAGGAAATCCCAACCTTGACTCGCCCTTTTCATAACAATCCTTCACAGCGCGCAAAAGAAAGGCGAGCGACTGTCGCTGAGCCATCGGCCGATGGCGGCACGATATCTACCGATAGCGCAGATTCACCGATCAAGCCAAACAGATACATGTATACAAATCCTCGTAGGAAAACAGTTCCAACAAATAGAGTTAACAACACATTCCATACCAACTTTGCATCGGACAATGCCCTATGTCACCATTGGAATACCTTGGGGTGGCAAGGATGCTACCGAGTAGATGACCAAACGTAGAGATGCACACACCCAAGGGAATAACCCAAGCCATAGAGCCAAGGGTTCGCTCGGCAAATGTCTGCGATCAGAAAAACAAGAAGGCGCTATTATTATCACCAAAAAATGAAATTGGACGCGCCATTCGCATTATAGAAGGGAAGCGAACTGAATACCATCTGTATGCAGTAAGCTTTTTTTCACGAATGTTTCTGAAAAATTCTTACTAAATCTACACTCAGAAACTGACAATGTTGGTAAACTTTATGATTAATTACCTTTCTTAAAAAAAAAAGGCAAAGCTACGTGATGTATAAGAATGGGAGGTTTTTGAGACGCTTGCTGGAAGCAACACAACAGTCCTTTTCAACTGTTTGCGTCGTGTTTAATCTAATTTGCACCTGTGTAAAATGACGAAAATAATAGAAAAGGACAGGTGTGCCTTTTGCCACCAAACGTCTTAAAAGTCTCCCATTGGAATGATATACTTACCACTGCAACAGCGCTTGAAGCCAGTAGCTTAGTCGGGGAGAGTGTGGTGAAATATGCGATGTTAGTCAGTAGGTAAATCGTTGTCACAACAGGTATAGCGATACCGATAGCCAGCGGAATATTCCTGAAATTGTCAAATTGGAACAAACACACCCTTTAAAGGGAAACTATTGAGACGCTTGGTGGCGGCAAACACAACGGGCCACGATTTATTTTTTATACCACATATTCGCTACTATATAGAATTATGCAGGAGGGCAGCCTACACTATATACTACGACATACCCTAATACTTACACACTCTACCATCTCGGTCGAGTCACTGCTGTAGTGTAGTGGATACTGCACTGCATTACAAAGCAGACGGTGTGAGTTCCATTCCCATGGGATTGTTTATTCTTCTTCTTTACATCTATTTTTTCCTCTAAGACAGGTTTGTTACTTATTTGGAACATATTTCTTTTACCAAATTGTGGTTTGGAGGATTCTTTTTCAAGGAAAAATAAAGTCCGAGAACCTGACTTGCAACTCAAACTGCTTCAGTATACGCCCATAGCGAATTAGTGGTATGGGAAAACTTGTCAACCGGCCTGTTTTCTACATCTAATATTACATGTCTATGGTTTTCTACTGTTTACGCCATGTTAAACATGCGCAATATAACTGAATTTCTTTCATTTGATGTATCGCTTTGGTCTTCTGTCCATACACGAAGCAGAGAAAAAGGGATAAGGCCTATCTATTGATTGGCAGGATGTGTCCCCATTTTATATGTCATAGCCCCGCCCTTTACATGGTAAGAAACAAAATGGCTTTGAACTTGTTGAGGAATCTATACGTGATCCTGAGAGTTTCAAAAGAGTTTACCCAAAATGAATATGGCCCCCCGCAAGCCCACAGACTATTAAACCCTCACTTATTAATGCCGGTGGGTAGTCGGATCTGTAATCTCTTTAATTAAAGGGAATATACATCATTTGCTTTTGCTGTAATTTTCGGAAATGGATGGAATTGGGGGGTTACAAATATATAGCAAATATAGTTACACTGACTTTTTTGAGGTTTTGGGTTCGAAAATGCTATAAAAACAAGAACTACTATCATTTTCCAGTAGTCTGGTTCCCTGACTCCATATAAGAAGAAATAGAGCAGTTTACATACATTGGGGAATTGTAAGGTCAGGGAACCAATCTAGCTGGCTCGTACCCGTTCATAGGTTTGTAATCGATTGCAAACAAGTGCGATGGTCAATTGGGGCCAGTATTTGAAAAAAAAGCCAGTTTTTTCCAACGCTGATCGTCCGATCAGCGTTGGAAATTGATACAAAAATACCACTTTTCTTGAAAATGACAGTTATACCAGGCGCCATGATTTTACAGGATGCTTTACACTGTCATTCACTAACAGTCCAGCAAGGTATTTCAAAATGATTTGGTAGTTTTATTTTTTGATGTTTGCAAGTGTTGTATTTTCCCTTTAATGTAGGGCTGCCCTATTATTAGCTATCTCAAACATTATTTTGTGACGAGGATGGCAGCAATTTCATGCCAAATAATTGCAAAATGGCAACGACAAACTATGCATGATTGATGTTGCTGCTATTGCTATAGCCTGCTGACCATCTGCTGCTGCTGTGTTGCTTTATACTTATCGTTGTTCAAACTAAATGGGCCTTGATGAAGAGAAGATTTTAATGAGGGGAAACGTTACATCCCTACTATGGCTATGGTCCCAACATTAGTTTGGCTTGTCCCAAGTAATGTTGGGACAGGCTCAACCATTGTTGGGACAGTCCCAACATCAGTTGGACCACTGTAAAAATAAGGGTGTAACAGGAATATTTTTATGACCAACCTGCTTGGATTTCTCAGCTCCTCTGTTATACTGTTCAGTATATCCCTTCGAGTAATGACAGGAAAGGAGAACATTTTCAAATTGTTTTCACACCCTATTTTCACCATTACAAAACTATATCTCACTTTGTAAGCATTTTAGTTTAATGTAGAGTACGCAAGTGTTGTTTGCAGTACAACTTCGATTGAAGATAAGAATTGAAATGAAATGTAACACAACACTGTCTTTGCTCACATAAATTAATTACCGTAATAACCCAAGCATTTGACGAATACTCACCACCCGCCATACGCCCAGAAGCCATAGTAGAATGCTAGCCCATAGCCTAGGAACTGCGTACTGGAACCTTCAAATGACACCGATGGGTCTAAATACTCCGTCTGACCTGAAAACAAGGTATCACAGCGGATCAAGACCTGGAGATGTGCTGCTCCGATTTATGGATATCCCCGACTTCGTAATTCATAAGCTAGCTGAGTTCGGGCGATGCACGATGCAGTGTGCCGCCAAGAGTTTGCCATGAAGAGTCAATTTTTCATGTTTTACATGGCCCATTTGAATGAGTGTCAGTAGACAACTTGAGATAATTTGTTACAGATTGGGACATAGCGTTCTGCCGCCTTACAACCAACACGTATTGATAAATAGAAAGTAAAAGGGCAAACAGATACTCGAATCATACGCTTAGAAAAACAAATTCAAATAGCCCGCGCTGCCAACTTGTCGACAATCTTCCAGAATTGTATAATAAACTCTCCGTGGCAAACACTAGGTGGCGCACTGCATTGTAAAACGCCCGAATTGATCTAAGTTAACCTATCAAAACACGGCTGAGTTGATTTGCTTCATTTCCAAAACTCGCTGTGTGTTCAGTTCAGTTCTTAAGCAACATAATTACTATTAATTTGAGCTAGCATCCATGAACAAACACATATAATCGACTGATTCCCCAGAAACTAATTTATTTCTATGTGAAAGACATACTTTTCGCTGTACTTCGTTAACGGGGGCATACCTATGTTCTCCAATATCTATGTTCCCCAACCCTAACCCTAACCCTAACCCTATACCCTAAAGATTTTGGGGAATTGAACATCGGTATGATTTGCGGCACATAGGCATTGGCTAACATCGGGTAGACCCCATCGAGTAACTGGTTTCAAGTTAGGCCCTTTTTAAGTATAAGTAAAAATACATGTAGTACATTTTGACTGCAGGCTACTACAGGCCCTAAGGTAAATACAGCCATGCAGTTTGTTGGGAAAATGAAGTAACACACATTTTAATCTGAATTTTAAGTTACCTTGGAATACTTTGACGAGACCAGCGATGATGATAACCATGAGGGCAATGACTTTTGCTCCTGCGAAGACCACAGATATTCCACTGGCTAGTCGAACACCCACACAGTTGACGAATGCAATCAACACTACGGCGTTCAGAAAATGTAAAATTTGATCTCAGAATATTGTAGAAATGCAATTTACCCTAAATTGCTTGCCAAAAGTTACTTGGTGTCTTTGAAGACATGCCTTGCCAGACTGACAATAACACTTCCTTGAGACGATTTATTAAAGTGAAAAGACAAATTACCTCTAGCCCTTCTGTTAAGAATTCTTCAAATTTACAATCAGAACATGTACATCTAATGTTACTGTCGCTCACAGTTTGTTAACTGTCTAAAAAAAATCCTTCATTTCACCAACGTGAACTGGCTGACCATGACCACGCATTGGAACTTCCGTCTGCCATTTTGTGTTACCCATTACGCACGTGCAGTACACGATTTTGTTTAAGGAGTTGCTAGTATTGGTTTCTTCTTCACGTTAAGGCATCAAAAATAATAATAGGAATTTTATTCTCTGAAAGGTTTTTGAGATTTAGAAAGTCCCAATCCTATGAATGGCCAACATCCACATGAACTGATTGTGTTGGAAGAATGTGATTATTAGGGAAAACTCAATGGCAGCATGACGGACATGAAATTCCGGGGTGACGTTTTGGGGATCCAAGATGGCAGATTAGTTGCTTCAATGTGCTTAGGGCACTCAGCTTGTAGCAGGCAGTCCAGTTAGTATAGAGGTCATAGAATTATGACTCCACCTTATTATCCAATCAGTCTAAAACCATTTTGCTCAATCAAATTCCCAAACATAGCCATCATAACGATACTTACTGACTGTGAGAATAGCAAAGAGTTGGACCGCTTCCCTAGGAGGAGCACAATCACCAGCGACGACGTAATCAGATATATAGGTTCCCAAGGTGATAGCTGTCAAGGCAACACTACCTGGCTTCATAATAACTACCAGAGACCATGCAACCATGAAGCCAGGTAGGTTACCATAGGCATGCAGCACGTATTGATATGGACCTCCAGCTAGTGGCACTACTGCACCTAGTTCAGCAAAACACATCCCACCTGAATACAATAAATACAATAATGAAAACTGAAAAAGTACATATGTCGCTGCTTAATTATAATATAAAGGAAGGGGTTCCCTCTACTGGACAAGGACGATTTCTCCGTGCCCCGGCACCAGTCTAGCAAACCAACGTGTATTTTATATGGGTGCCTGTGTCGCGGGCAAAGTGAAAATCCGCGCAATGTTGGAATTCCTACTTTGTCCAGCTGGGCAAAGTGGGAATTCCAATACTGCCTGGCAAAGTAGGAATGCATCCAAAACTTACATATGGATAATTGTACGAAAGGATGTTAAAATTACCCATAGTTATTTCCACATTGTGCTACTAATGAACCTGGGCAAAGTGGAAATTCTGTTAATTTGATGCCCCTCTGTACTACGTTAAGGTGTGGAATTTACCCATGGGTAATATTCCCACATTGTGCAACTTCGAACCCGGACAAAGTGGGAATTTCGGTCAATTTCGATTTAATTTGCTATTGATAAGAGGTGCTAAAATTACCCATTGGTAATATTCCTACATTGCGCCGTTACTTAAGTTACTTAACCATGGCAAAGTCGGAATTATATATATAACATAAAGCAAATATATAGCAAATTACATCACAATTGCCCGTAATTTGCCCAGGTTCTGTAGTAGGGCAATGTGGGAATAATATTAATGGGTACTTTGAACATCGCTTTATGGCAAATTTCATTTGAACGAAATTCCCACGTTGCCCTGGTCTCGTAATAAGACAATTAATTTGGGAAAAGCATTCCCACTTTGCCGCGCAGGGTTGGAATTTGGGCAAATTCCGAATTTTCCCAGATTCCCACATTGCGCGTGACACCTGCAATACGTTCGCAAAATCAGACAGGCTGAGTCTGAGTACGTTCAAACGTCAAAATGACGGTGCTTGGGATAAGGTCAGAATGACGCAATTATTTTGAAGAGTTCAGATAAGAAAGGAATCTTATCAATTGGACAATATTTGAGCGAATGAGGGCGCTTTGATGACGTCGTTATTGGTGCGAACCATGGTGCAAACGGACGTTAATAATTGATGTTAAATTTGAAGTAGAAGCACGAAGCTGCTTCTATAAACTAGAGTTTCTACCAGTTGTACAAAGCTCCTTATTAGCTCAAAATATGGCCGATTCTCAAGAGACATCGAAGTTGAATGCTACCTAACGAAGATATCACAGCGCAGAGGAACCATATCACCAGACTCATGCCCACACTGCTGGCTGAAAGGAGAACACCTTTCGGTGAGATGAAGATCCCAGATCCAATCATCATTCCTACGATCAGAGATACCGCTCGGACTAATCCAACCTCCCTCTGCAGCTGGACAGTGTTTTCCATGCTTTCAATTTCAACAGAGGAATTCAATGAGTCTGAACTTCCTCCACTTCCGGTCTCTCCTGGACCTTTCCTCCCATTCCTGGCCTGCAGAAAATATACAGCAAACTATACGTTTAGTTTAAATGCATTCGATTAAACTATACCTAGAACAAACACCAGATGAGCACGTTCTTCTGATTCAGGTGCTCATCGATATATGTGTGTTAGACTACATGTTAATATTTTATGTTGCGGTGCGTGGTGTCCAAAAATGTCATTACAGAACCGAGCCCAATTTAATGCATTTGTGGGGTAATGGACCGATCCAGTAAGCACCGCCCCATGGTATTCTGACCAATCACAGCCGTGATTTATGTCCGACATGCGTGCACAAAAGTCCGACATGCGTGCACGCGCGTATGATGCGCGCGGCAGGAAAACGCAGTGTGGCATTGGAGAGGAGCACGTGTTAATTTGCCCACGAGCGCAGTGGGAGGGGCTTACTGGATCGGTCCATTAGCGCCTCTGGGCTCTTATCTGAGATAAAGTAGGTATCTGTTACACTGGGTGGAGCCCAGGACTAACTGACATTATTGCCACTTCACTGCATCTATTAATCTGTGAGGAGTGGTTATTATTAGTTACGCAACACACAATACGCCGCACACATACCCTTTACATCCCTTGGTCAGCATTATGGTCCCGTGTAGAGCAATTATTAAGATGTTTATCTCAACTTGAAGGTTCAACTGCATTCTGCGTTATATACTTCGTACACAACTGACGACTGGGAATTGATGTATCATTGTCACATTAGGTTTACAATTTCCTTAAAACAAATTGATAAAACAAAATTGATAAGAAACACTAAACAAAACTACAAATCTATGTCTGTTTACAATAGAACATAGGGCTTTTCCGCATTATGCTTTTTTTTAAATCAATAACACGTCCCAGACTATTCATGTACAACGACTATTCATGTACAACGTTTCAAAGTATACGGTACAAGAATTTTTTAGTTTATCATGTAGCGTCTGTGGGATATATTATCCTCAAAAAAATTGATCCATATTAAATCAAACGTATCGGACTACCTTTGCACGCAATTTTGACCCATTCGGACTGGTAGTTTTTGTCAATATGAGACTTTAAAAAATGCATCTTTATGATAACGCCACATGCCCTGCGATGACATCATCTTGATAACACTTGTCAATGCACATTTTTGCATTGTGGTCTTGGTTTGTACCAAGCTTGTCAATCCAATGAAAGGAAGTGTTAAATATTGAAAGCGGATGAAATTGTAAATATAAAAAAATCATAAAAAATCAGCCGATGACGTCATTATGACGTCATTTCGGATTTTGCTTACTAGTACTATTATCTATCTATCCATTAAGTACATATACCTATTACCTAACAAACATAATAAAAAAAGAATTTGGAATTTAGCATGTTGGGTTCGAGAGATATAGTGCTAATCTTCAAATCTAAATTTTAAAAATCAATATAAAATCACACAATGACGTCATGGTGACGTCATTTCAATTTTTACCTATAACACATCCCGGCCTATCTACAAACCAAGTTTCAACCCAATCGGACTTGCAGTTTTGGAGATATAGGACTTTAAAATATGCACATTTGTGATGACGTCACGTGACTCATGGTGACGTCATGATGACGTCACTCTTCGGCATACAACTTTGCTATAGGGACTATGCCTGTGGTAAGTTTTAATGATGCTTCACAAAGATTAATGCCAAAAGTGGCACTGAGAAAAAAAACGTGTACAAAGTCTTGGAGATTTAGGCGACAAAAAGAAGAAGAAAGAAAAACTAGAAATTGTGGTTGTGAACAACCACAGAGCTGTTCCCAATATTGAATGTCTGTTGAACCAATAGACATATAAGTAGAGATCTATGTCTGTTTGCAACAGAACATAGGGCTTTTCCGCATTATGATTTGTTTTTATCAATAATACGTACAACGTACGTGCATGTACATGTACATTATGGACGTCCTGTGCATGTTTTAAAGCAGAAGTATTGTCAACCTGAAGTTTGAAGCGTGCGCAGGGCATGTCCGAGTTTGCTTATTGCCTCGAAGCTTTGAAATGTTTTAGACCTACCCTTAAATCGACAATTAAAGTAAAAACTAATATAAAAACTGCCATGGTTGATTTTTCAGGAATTTTCTAAGGAAAAAGGGTCTTTTCAATATAACTTCCGGTCTGATGACGTCATACACCTAAAACTTCGCACACCTCTTAAGTGGGTCAAGGTCATTATATACACCAATATTTAGGCGATTCCGACAAACTTCGCCACAGACATCTATTCAAAATACATTTTTGAAAATTTTCAACCTGTCGCTAGAGGGCGCTCGAAGATTGCATGACGTCATCGGTAGATGATTTGAAGAATACTATCAGTCAAGAGACTAACAACGTTAAAAGCAAGTTCATATCTGTTACCACTTTTAAATAATAAGCCACTTCCGGTTTTGGCCTTTTTCGACCGGAAGCAAAGGTCACGTGATTTCACGCACACTGAATAAAATAAAGACCTTAACCTATTCTACCACTTGCCGGCAACATAATGCTGCGGACGCGTACGGTTGATTTCTTATGCATTTTTAGCTGTTCCCAATTTCAATTGGGAACAGCTATTGTTTTCGTTAAAGTTTTTTTTTTTCCTTTTTTTTTTTTTTTTTCTTTTTCCACTTTTCCCCATAGGTTTTGTACACGTTTCTATTCTACAAGCCACTTTGGCAATTATTTTAAATCCGATCAACTTTAAACTCAGCATAGTTATTAATCATCATCTGAGGATGTGTGCCGAAACTTTTTGTTACGCTGACGTCATCACGTGATTTATTATAGAATTTTGAATATTTAATTTTTCCCATAGACTTTGTACACAGAATTTTTTTTTAAAATGTCAATTTTAAGAGGGCATTTTCGACTCTTTGCCAGTAATTCATTTACACCAATCTTTGTCCAAGCAAAGACCCTAATTCAAACAACATTGTGTAATGATGACGTCATCATTTTAGCCGATTTCCAGGTAACTTTGACAGATTTTATGATCATGCATAGTCAGGGACGTATTATTGATAAAAACAAATCATAATGCGGAAAAGCCCTATCTTCTGTTGCAAACAGACATAGATCTCTACTTGTATGTCTATGGGTCCAACAGATAATCAATATTGGGAACAGCTCTGTGGTTGTTCACAACCACAATTTCTAGTTAAATATTAAAATTGTCACAATTTAATTGCCTATAGATAAACACCGGATGACGTCATCATGACGTCATCATTACACAATGGTGTTTGAATTAGGGTCTTTGCTTGGACAAAGATTGGTGTAAATGAATAACTGGCAAAGAGTCGAAAATGCCCTCTGAAAATTGATATTTTTTTTTTAATTTCTGTGTACAAAGTCTATGGGAAAAATTAAATATTCAAAATTCTATAATAAATCACGTGATGACGTCAGCATGACGAAAAGTTTCGGCATACATCCTCAGATGATGGTTAATAACTATGCTGAGTTTAAAGTTGATCGGATTTAAAATAATTGCCAAAGTGGCTTGTAGAATAAAAACGTGTACAAAACCTATGGGAAAAGTGGAAAAAGAAAAAACTAGATGTGGTTGTAACTGAACAACCACAGAGCTGTTCCCAACTTGTTTTTGATTGTCTATTGGATAATAGAAAATAATGAAATGATTTTTGCAAAAATATCTAACTTTTAAAATTGAAATTATTATCTTACATAATTGCACTTCCGGTAAAAACCGGAAGTAAAGGTCACGAGACCTTGACATATACATTTTCATTTATTACCCTTCCCTGTCTATATATTTACCAAGTTTGAGATCAATCGGTCGAATAGTTTTATAGTTAAAGGACTATAAAGATTGCCTCATTAAATATTCATGACGTCATAACATGAAAACATTAAACTGCCCATTAATAATAATGCTACATATTTATCCTTTAATGTTGCTTAATACTAATATAAGGTGTCAACCCAATTAAATTTCTAATTCATTAGATATGATAAATAGGGTCTTAATTTAACACTTCCGGTAACACCGGAAGTAGAGGTCACATGACCCGGATATACCAATATTTATCTGTAACACTTCCCAGTCTGTATACCTGCCAGGTTTGAGATCAATCGGTCAAATGGTTCTATAGTTATAGGACTGTAAAGATTGCCTCATTAAATATTCATGACGTCATAACATGACAATAATTAAGTGCGAGTATAAATAATAATGCAATATAATTATCTGTCAATATAGCTTTGTATCAATGTGAAGTTTCAACCCAATCAGATTAATAATTCATGAGATATGATATAGGGGTCTAAAATAACCACTTCCGGTAAAACCGGAAGTGAAGGTCACGTGACCTTGACATATCAATTTCATTTATAACACTTCCCTGTCTGTATAACTACCAAATGTGAGATCAATTGGTCAAATAGTTCTATAGTTATAAGGCTGTAAAAATTGAATCTATAAATAGATGTCACGTGACCCCTGATGACGTCACGATGACGAAAAGTTTCGGCATACATCTTCAGATGATGGTTAATGACTATGCTGAGTTTAAAGTTGATCAGATTTAAAATAGTTCCCAAAGTGGCTTGTAGAATAAAAACGTGTGATATATATTTGAAAATGCATGTGTCCAACTTCCCCTAAAGCAGAACAAAAATCACTGAGACAAGTCTACTGATAGGCGAATGGGGGCGCCATTCACTTTATACGGTGTGCCGTTATATTTTTTTGGTGACGCGCAGCTGTCCTTATTTTGATCCCATAAAACTTAAGGCTCTGTGCCTTAAGTACAACCGTTAAAGTTATGTACTGCCCTCTTTTGGCGAGAATGAAGGGACGTAATGTACATTGAACGACGTTTCAAAGCCACGTGTACGTGCTATACACATTGTGGAAGTCCTGCGCATGTTTTAAAGCTCTCTACCGCAACTTGGGCAAGGGTATTTTTTGCCGACGTCGCGTCAACTGTGTGAACAATTTGACAAGCTGGGAACTTGGCATTG